TGGAGACATGATTATTTATACCCGTTACCTTAGTGCTCGTACCGCGTCGTAACAAACCCAACTTCTCAGTTAAACTCTGCGTAATAAAGTTCGCTGTACTGCCGTTGTCCAGCAACAAGCGCGCAGTGTACTTCTTACCCGTCACGCTGGTCACGTTTACCAGGGCTGTGGACAGTAAAACATGCGAAGAAGTAGCAAGCTGCATAGAATTGGCGGAAAGCACAACGTTTGGAGCAGAAGGCAATTCAGAAGGCAAAGCTGCAGGCAATGGGTTTGTGTAGGATTTAGGCTCATGTGAGTCTAAGTGCAAAAGCATATTATGCTTCGATTTGCAATATTTGCAATGTGAAAAGGTACATTTATTAGCAGAATGCCCGAAGCGTAAACAATTAAAGCAAACATTGTATTCGCGGGCCTTTTGTATGCGAGCCTCAATAGATAAGCTTCTAAATGAGTCACATCTGTATAAAGTATGTGCTTGGGAGCAAAGCGGACATTTGTTGTTTTTATGATTATAGTTTGATTTTTTATTTTGTGTTTGAGTATTAGTTTTAGAATTAATTTTATTTATGTGACTATTGTTTAAAGCTACAATAGAATTATGTTTTGAAGAACAATTATTCGATTCAACAGATTCCAACCAGTCGGCTCGCTTGCCTAAAAATGAACAAAATTGTTGTAAAGTAGGATCATCGTTGTTCAAAGCAGTATTCCTATTTTCTTCCCAGTCACGACGAGTAATGCTATCTAATTTTTTTACCATAAAATAAATTATAATTAAATCCCAATGTTGTGTAGGCTTTTTTAATGTTGTCAGTGCCCTAATATTTTTATTGATTAGATCAACTAAATTTCTTATACCAACACTTGATTCCATAAGTATTGGTTCCACATCATCAAATAAAGCTCGCAAATGGTTGTCCACAAGAAGACGGTTATTATTGAACCTTTCACATAGCAGGTCCCATGCAAGTTGATAATGTTCGGCCTTAAAATCAATGTTTTTAATTATTAAGGCCGCTTTGCTCTGGAGTGAAGCTCGCAAGTACTGGAACTTGTTTATGGCGTTGATGCTAGCATTGTCGTGAACCAATGAACTAAAAGTATCTCGAAACTCAAGCCAGGATTGGTAGTTTCCATCAAAATGTGGCAATTCTATTTTTGGCAAACGAACAAAATTATTCCGTGAGGAAATATGTGCACCTGAGTCAGCATCCTTGAAGCCAGCCTCCGACCCGACACCGTTGTTCGAAGCACCGAGCAGGCTGCGCGTGAGTGCCACCAGACTGAAGAATTGGCGGTCAAAGTCCTCACGCTCAGTAAACGTAGACTCGGCATCGTCGGCAAGCACTTCAATTTGAGTCTGTAAATCATCAAATTCGGCGTGCAAGCTTTGGAATTTAATAAAGCGTTCTTCCAAATCTAGACGCTGCAACTGTGAAATAGCGGCACTACTTTTAATTAATGTTAAATAATTGTTGTAAATCGTAAGCTTCGATTTTACAGAACTGCGTTTCTTAATTAAAGTCTTTAAACTGTCTGCCATGATAAAATATTATAGGATTAAATATAAACTGGTTAAACAAGTACTAATGAGTTAAAGGAATGTATGCAAAAACAGCTGTGCGATAAGAAAAGGTACCGAGATTCACGATGTGACACGTGTTCGCACCGCGTTAGCAAACTAGTTTTTGTAACTATGGAATATTTATACGTGAGTTATTGATACGTAAGCAAATAACTGCAGTATTACAAGCACTATTTGAAATGAGATACGGGCTACTCGTTAAAGAAAGTTATGGGAAGCTGGGAAACGATTTTTTGGCAAGATGAAAGTTTTGGAAAGTAACTAATTGGAACGACTCACTCAAATACAGTATTATACTCCCAAGAATGACATCGGCTTCCACGGTGACCACGTAGTCTGCTTCGGGGACGACTTCTTTGTGCTTTCGGCGACGTGGTGCGCGGGGTACAAAGTTCACTCGAAGTGCACACGATGACCGATGACGTTGATAATGATTTGCAAAATTTTACTGGGCAACTTAATAGCTCGAAGGACCAATTGTCGTAGCTCTGTCGGGTTATTTTAAATTAAAACAGAAGACTGCACAATTAATAGGTTTAATTTCTACATATATCAGAATCAAGACCGGCTCACACCGATACAAAGAAATGCCCGAATGCAATGGCTGGCGTGTGTCGATGAAGAAGAAGCGCGGCGCTCGCGCGGCGTGGGTTTTTATACCCCGTCCTGCGCGTCGCCGCCTCTATGGTCGATGGCCATACTAATGCGCCAACATTGTCTACCAATAATTTGAGGTTATTTTATTGAAATTTTCTAAGGATCCTTACTTTTTATATAGCGTATACTATGTATTTAGTACAAATACAGCTTTGTAAGTTTTCGTACAAACATACATACATACAAAACCGATATATTTCCTCTCTATAATATTCGTATAGATTGAGGTTTCTAGCTTAGATAACATATAGCTCACCGTCCTTAATGGGTTCGTGATTTAACGAACTTCTAACTTTGTGGGCGATGTTAATCAATATATTGCACGTAGCGAGATTGGGGCTGTTGCATGGAAAGAGATGTACTTAATAATGCGAAGACAGTATCTGCCATATTGATGTTTTACGACAGGGCGTCGTACAACACTAAATTATTGTTTTGTTTTGGACTGATGAAATTCTTATAAGTAACTAGCGGACCCAACAGACGTTGTCCTGCATATCCACTTGAATGTATAAACAAAAATTCATTCAAATTAGTTCAGCCGTTTAGGATAAATAACCTAAACATCGACTGCAGCGCCGCCGGGCTGATTTGTGAATCTAAACCATTCCTAGATCTCCTTGAACACACACAAAAAATTTCATCAAAATCGGTCCAGTCGTTTGAGAGAAGTTCAGTGACATACACACTCACAGAAGAATTATATATATATAAGTAATCTATAATCTATCTAATTGTTTTTTTTTCTTTTGAGTTCACATACACATGAGACCTAGACCCGGAACAACAATTTGTGGCTTTAACAACAATCAGTCGGCGTTTTTAACTAATAATGACTGTTGTATAACTGTTGTATAACTAAGGGTGGGACTAAATAAAAAAAATATGATTCACTGTATATATTCATCACATTTTATATAATCAATAATTCCATGTACATTAGAGATTTTCAATTATTACAACATTTATAATGGTATAATCTGTGAATTTAATTATAATTATTACAACACGCCAAAAATTCGTAAAATGTATTTGAATAAAATAATTAATTCAATAAATAATAACTATCTTAATACACTACAACATTCAATTATTAAGTAAATAAATAATTGTGTCGTTAAATTTGAATAATTATTATTTTAAATTTTTGAATAATAACTTTATTATTTTAATACAATTTTATAGTTGCATCAGAATGCAACAATTGGAGAATTTTAAAATACAAGAAATAGGAATAAATATACATTGCAAATAAGATATAGAGTTGCCCAATGTTTACGTTGCACTAAGAGAATTAAAACATTTAATGTTTTTCTTTTTTTTTGCAACGTAAATTGAAGGCAGCATCACAACCCATTGGGGCATTGAGGTTTTATTATGAAGAGTTTGTATACCACATTATAAGGAATGCTATAAGATATCCTATGAGATACACTAGAAATAGATAGAATATAATTTTCTACTGTGTGTATAATAGAATTTTGTCTCATGTCTTCCCTCTTTAGTCTTGTAGTTAAGTAAGTATAATTAACTACATTGAAAAGACAAGCGATTAGCACAACACCGAATAGTCAAATTATTATATTTATATAATTCAAATTCTCATTTAATTATCACACTCGTTTATATAAAAGAACTAATATTGTCAGTGGCACCTTGGTTTGTAACTGCTTACAATTTCACATTGTACCTACAGAGAAAATACAACCTCATCCATTTCTTCATACTTCTTATTTAACTGCGTGTCTTAATATTTAAATATAGGCCAATATTTTGTGAAGGCAAATAATTATTTCGTTTACAACCTGTTAAAATAATAATAATGGTACTCTTAAACTGTAAGCACTTACAGAATTTTAAACTTCTTCAGTCTAAAATACATTTAAAATTGACAATGCGATAAATAATTTTGAATGTAACCGCTGTCCAACAAACCAATGTCTAATAAAATATAGCATTTTAATAAATAATTTCATTTTAATTGACTCTTTTAAGCCGATAAAATATAATTATTGCAAAGTGTAAATTGCAAATAATTGACTCCTAAGACGCTATGAATACTATTGGACTTTTAAAATAATTATATAATTTATTAATTTTATTTTATTATTACAATAATTCTATTCATAAGACTTGTAATTTAAACTATAAAATAAGCAAAAATAATTATTATTTGCCTTACTAGTGTCGATTCAATTCCGCACCTATTTCTACCATTGCTGTTTTATTTGGTGTTATACAATACAATGAGGAAAATTCCAAAGAATTAGTATTAGGAATATAGATAAATATTATGTGTTTAAGAACTATTTTACAATATCAGAAAGATTCCACTACACTTGGATGAATCCGATTACATTTTTGTGAGCTTTTAGCTGACAGAAGTACAACTAGATACAATATTATATTATTATATTATAATTATGAGCAAATAGACAACATATGAAATACATAGACTCAGAATTATAGATAGTATCTACAAGGCACGCAAATAAATTTTCTAGACAGCCACATTTAATTTTAATTTAATTAATTTTATCAATTATGAAAAAAGCAAGATTTTTTACTAAAACTCGTTTATCTATTCCTTGTATAAGGACAAAAAAATAATTTATAAACATTTAATAATGACTCACGTTTCCAATATATTTGACAACTTTAAGCATCATAATTGAATAACTAAATAATTATATTTGAATAATAATTACTTTTACAATCTAAATAATTTTAAAATTTTTGAATAATTGTATTATTCAAAAAACAGCCGTATATTGTGTAACCATTCGTTCCTTTTTATTATAGTTTAGAGTCTAATTGTTACAATTTTATTATACGTATATATTTAGATAAATAATGAAATGTTATATTATAAATCAGCTTCTCATTTGAAGTGGAACCCAACGGATGCGACGAGTGAATTATGTAATTACATATATTTTCCTGGAAATAACAATAATTATTTAAATAAAATCTTATAAAAATGAAAATTTCGATGACATAAAGTGCATAATGAAACTATTTATCACACATAAAACACTCTTCACCTAATCTTTAAGTGCTAAAAATGTAATTATTTTAATGAATACCACAACGCAACTATGACATGTGTGTGCTAGTGATGTGCATGATGCACATTTTGTGAAGTGTATTTATTGTGAATATTTCATGCTGTATAAAAAAGTGATAAAATTGTTTGAATTCTATATAATTATTGTTCAAATATAATACAATTTAAATCTGTGTTAAATATTGAAATATTACAAAGTGTGTTATAATTAAAATTATTATTCAAAATTGCGTAACTACGTTCTAGTGTTGGTGAGGAATTCAAAAATCGTATTGTAATGGAAGGTGGTCATTCAATTGTAAGGATTGATCACAGTTTAGCTAATGAGTGAAAATATTCTGTGGAAGCATTTGAATATGTAGTATGTATGTATTGGGAAGCTGCGTTATTTTGCTAATCACAAAAGGGGTTACGAAAGTACAATTATTATTCCAAAAACATTTTTGTACTCTTCGCAGATCAAATATTGGGGGTTTGCTCTGCGAAGAGTATGATTATTGAACAGATTTTTGTCTGGGAATCAAATAATATCATATTATTCAAATAAATATATTCACAAAATATTACAGATTAAAAATATATGTTATAATCATAATACACATTTTATTTCAGTTTAATGTCGATTAAAACAGATTTGAAAATACACACAATATTTATTGGTTTGATCGGATTTTTTGATTCTGCTATTGCATTACCAGCTAGTTTAAAATGAAAGAGTCTACATGTTAACTTGAACCATGAAATAGTAGCATCACTTGAAATACAACCGCTAACAGATAAACAAAATCCAAATCCAGATCACCAATTAATTCATTAAACCAGAATTTTACTTACCAACTCCCACTAAAACTCTATTTCTACAAGCTCTATTAGGCGAGAAAAAAGAGAAAAGAGAAGAAAAAAGAGAAGAAATAAAAGATATCTATTACTCACAATGGCCAGTGTTGGCTGCCACAGTACTGTTACTAGTTGCTACGATCGCCGGCCCCGGATTAGGCGTCGAGTTTCGGTACCGAACTAACCAAACATTTGTTTAATGTTATCACCTGCAAAGAGCGGTAAGCAGAACATATGCGTCGAAGCAACTAGCTGCTACACTAGCTGTGGTGTTCGTGCTTTGTTTTAGGGATTTTTTTGTACGTAAAAAATTTGGAAATTGATCTCCAAAAAAGTGTTGTTTTGGGCTGTGATGATCCTATCTAACCATCTGTTTTTCTTGGTATTGCAAATTAACTCTAGAGTGTGGAACATTGAAGACAAAAGGGTAATTAATGTGTTGGTTATCCGTGCTTAAGTTGGTGAACTTTTTGATTTACTTCTTTCGAAATGGTGCTGATTTATTAACTGTTTTTTGCAATCACACAGTGCAATGTAATACAGTTATTTGAATTTTATTCTTAAAGAAGTGCTGTGCAATTGTTTTTGAAATTCATGACGTATTTTTTATGATGTGCTATAAGAACGGACTGTAAAAAATATTAGTGTTATAACGGTTGTTCTATGGTCAACGTTGGCCTTTGGAGAAACCAAAGAGGATGCCTTATGAGTCCGACTATACCTACATTTTTATAGTTTCAAGGAGCAGAAGGTATCCCGAATAGAACCACTATGTGTTCGACTATGTATCTGCTTTGATCCATGTCAGTTCAATCTAGTCTATAATATTGATTGTAACCACTGTTACAGTACAAGTGTTATTGAACAAAAATGTTATAGAGTCAGTAAAATTTGTAAATTAGCATAGAATCCAAGAATTTGGAAGAAGGAAAGCCAATTGCTAGTTTGAAACAAATCTAAGTTAGACATTCAGAAGTATAAGGAAGGGTTAGATGCAAACTAACAGTTTCCAGGCAATCACAGATGGTACGACACGTTGCTAGTGGTTAGAGACAGAACTTGACTGTTAAGAGAACTATGTAAATTATATTAAAGCTTTGCTTACAGTTAAAATAAGGTCCAGTATTGTATAAATAATTAAGGACCTAATATTAGATCAGAATTTTTTTTAGGTAAACGCACGACCTAACAAATCCTTCATTTATTATTTAGTACATTGTTTTTCAGTCTGTCAAAAGTATTTGTACGATTTATTTGATACAAAATCATTCAATTGATTTATTTCATTTTTAAATGTTATCGAAAATGTGAATCTTAATAAAATATGAAAATCCGTTATCAGAATTGTTCACAGATATTTAGATATTTTTATTTTCAGTCATTCTAATTCGTTCATTTTCATCCACCCTATTATCTACTTCATGAAACTAGTCCAAAAGCCTACAGGCCTTCTAAAATTACCCCCAGTCAAGTTCCATCTGACCCCACTGACACATAACATCGCAAGTAACACTGCTAAGCTTCACTTGACAACACCAATTCATTGTGTCTGTATTCAATCCTGATACTTACCAAATAGTAGGCCTATTATGACGATCCCAATCACACCCATTATTATCATCATCTGTAATAAAAAATAAAGGAATTTGAACTCTATTGCCATCAAAGTAGAAAAAAAAGTTTGAGGTCGAAAAGAGGTTGCAAACTATAAGTATTTTAACAGTGGATAATTCTTCACTATATTAAAGGACCCTTAACCGACGAGCATGCATAAAAAGACTGATGACTGTTGATGAAGCGAAAGAGGTATTGTAAGAATCGTAGCAATTTTCGTACTATAGTCTCTGCCTATCCTCATGGGAGACAGGCGTGAGGTTATGTAGAGGTATGTGTGTATTGAAATAAAATAACTGTTTGTTTTCCGATGTGTGGGCGTTGTTCATGTTTCAGCAAAATTGCATTTAAAGTCTTTTAAGATATTTTCCCCAAGTGAAATTAAGTACACCAAATTAAATATCTTTCAAGAATGTTTTGTTTCATTGAAGTGACAATAACGATAAAAGAGCAAAAATTATAAGATTGTTAAATCAAATCAAATAAATCAAAATCATTTATTTGCCCGAACAAGGTATACAGTGGTCACATTATGATTATAGTCCCTCTTATTCTGCCCACAATTCGGGCGTGCAAAACTTTTACATGGAAGTCATAAACATTAAAACTATAAAACAAGGTATGTCATATTAAGTGAGAAAACAATGTCATTAAAGGTACATGTCAAAATAAAAATTACTATATAAAAAAGGAGGTTCATTATTTTCAAACATTAAAATAAAACTAACAAAACAAAAACAAAAAAAAAAGAAATTATAATAATACTAATATTCAGCCGTTAATCCACAAAATAACAATCTAAAACTGTTAAATGTTTAATTACCTTAAGATTTTGTAGCCAGAATTTGTTCTTCAAGCTCTTCGCTTGCTGTTCAAACTGTGATGCTCCGTACTGTAGCGCATCTGTATGGACAACATTTTAAAATTAGAATCAACAAATTAATCTAAACTCCACCATATATTCTCCAAAATCTGGAATATTTTTCCTTGACTATCTTTAGGTCAAATCTTCAAATTGGTGTCAGACACTCAAAATTAGGACATAGGACTATTGTACCTGCTCTGTCATCCAGTTCCGATAACTTCACATCTCGATCAAGCACCTTGTCCATATTTGTCTTCATTATGTCCACCACCTAGACCACAGAGAAAGAATATCAATGCATCTAATTTAATGAGTAGAGGTGTTCTACCCTGTCATCATCAAATCATTATTGTCATCATAATCAACAGCCAAAAGATTTCCACTCCTGAACAAAGGCCATAATTACATCTGAATAAGTTAAAATAAAATAAAATATTTTAATTTTATTTAAACTCGCTGCCTCGTTGGCCGAGTTGTCGCAAGTGCGACTGCCGGGCAAGGGGTCTCGGGTTCGATTCCCGGGTCGGGCAAAGTATTACTGGGTTTTTTAAAAATCTCAGTAGTAGTACGGAGTCTGGAAATGTGCCCGGTATATGGCAATAGGCTCACCCCCTATTACATGGGACTCATAACATAAATAGTGAAAAGTGGGTGTTACTTCTATGTGCACCTCTGCCTACCCCTTCGGGGATAAAAGGCGTGATGTTATGTTATGTTATGTATGCTAATTTAATGAACTTCCAAGGAATGACTTCAATGATTTCTTTTTTTTGGTTTATCTTACGGGAATTGCAGCTGACTTTATAAGACAACAAGAGACAGCCTCCTTAGATTCCACATATCCACATACCTCATCGACCTGAGCTTGAGTCTGCTGCAACCTCCTCTGAGCAGCAATTTGCTGAGGGGTGCGAGGTCCTCCAATGATCTCTCCATCAGGTCCAGTCTCGGCCTCCGGTGGGGCCAACCCTGGTTGAGCGGGTCCAGCTTCGGCTGCCCTGGAAAACGCAAGACCGAAAGGTCGTAGAATTTTTTGAAACAAACGTATTGCTTTTTTTTCTTTATTGAAGAAAAGTCGAAGTTTATTACTACGTAAAGCAAAAATCTTCTAATCAATTTTATCACAACATAAATCAACAACTGGCATCAAAAATCATTGCCTACATATAACATTGCATTGCTTAAACTGTCTTTAAAATGACTATAAACAAATAAACGTTACATCTGAATAGAATAATAATATCCTCACCAATTTGCTCGAACATAACTTTTGAGGTTTCCATTCATGAGAGTTTTCTAAATCATCTTTATACATAATTTAAACTCATGTAAGTATGTCAAACAAAATATTGAGCTAAGTAGGATAGGAAGTTTGAAAACTTGCCAAATATTACCAAGTTTGCTGGAAGCTTCACGTCATAGTGTGAGCTATCTTACGTAAAACCCGCAGTGGAAAACTAGGGTAAACAGCGAATGCGGTAAACGTTCAACAGCATGACATGGTGTTAAATTAATGGCGGTTGGTGACGCCTTTCATTGTAGCTATTAGGGACAATTTTTCTAGGACAAATCCGCTAATACATTTTCTTAACCATTTCAATTCATGGAAGCCTAAATGTATAGTATCGTTAATTAAGTTGTATCAGAAATAAAATTGCAAATAAATAATAAAAAAAAATCTGACGCAGTAAAAGGAAAACGTCTTCTAAAATATGAACGATATTTTTCTTAATAATTGCTTCAAAAGCAATTTCAGATTATATTTTACTTACTGTCCATATAGACATTGAGACTTTCCAATAAAGTCTACCTACACTTAAAATAAGGTTTCTCTTTTTATTCTTACCAAGACTTAGTAAACTTACTTAACCTGTCTCGTTGGCCGAGTGGTAGCAAGTGCGACTAATGAGCAAGGGGTCTCGGGTTCGATTCCTGAGTCAAAGTATTACAAGGTTTTAAAAAAATCTCAGTAGTGGCACGGAGTCTGGAATTGTACCTGGCTCATCTCCTTAAATAGTGAAAAGTGGATATTATATCGTTCAGTGGCATTAAGTGCCGTAATGTATACCCCTTCAGGGAAAAAAGGCGTAATGTTATGTTACTTAATAGTAAGCTTAATCGTCACAATAATGGCTCATACTTTATACTTATATTTTAATCAATTGTGTTCAAGTACTAGTTGGTACTTGTTACTGCGATGAAGTCACGCTATACAGTTCTTTCTTTTAAACTAAGTGCAAACAAAGGTGTGGTTGTATAGGGGTCAATAAACCTTCAGATACTTTTTTTATTTTTTAAGAAGGTGTTCCTTTTTAGCTACTTCATTGTTAAATTGTTGTCTGTTCGTCTCTGTACCATTTACTTCAAAGGCATAAATTATGCCGTTTATTTTATTACTAGTTAGCCCGCGAATTTAGCCCGTAGAATATGAATTTTAGTACATAACTTTTTTGTTACAATTTTCCAAAACAAAAGTAGCCTATGTTACTCCTTAGTACATCAGCTACCTGCCAGTAAAGGTGCAGCCATTTCAGAGATTATTCTCTACAAACAGACAGATAGACAAAAATATTTTTTTGCTTGTGCAATGTATCGCATGTAATTCATATTCATGCAGTAAAAAGCTGTTATTTCAATATTATAAACAGACACTCTAATTGTGTTTTTTTTTTTTTGGAAAGATGTATATATGAAGAAAAGTAAGAATATTCAGTTTCAGATCTTTTTAATGCAGGGAAATCATCGAATGACACTCACTCCCGCCTGGATGAGGCGAGAGAGAGTACATGAGCAGCATTTCGCGACCCGCGACGCGGCTTGCAAGCAGCAGCTAGCATGGGTTGAAACTAGTCGAGTTCCTCGTCAAATAATTACGTGAGTAAAGTGAAAACATAATAATACAAACACGCCTAATGACCGTACTCATATAATTAATGTTTTGTTTGTAACATAAAACTAGCTGGAGGTTAACGACTTTGTAAAAAGAAATTAAACGAAAACTATTAGCATTAACTGATCCATGGTGGCAATTAGGACCCCTTGGGGTGGAAAGAAGGGTAAATGACTGGAAAATATTGAAAAATTACGACATTATAATTACGTGTAGTGCAGGTAACCTAAACAACAGAGGTACACATTACGGCACTTAATGCCACTGTACAATGTAACACCCACTTTTCACTATTTATGTTATGAGTCCCATGTACCTAATAGGGGATTAGCCTGGCACAATTCCAGACTCCGTGCTACTACTGAGATTTTTTTAAACCCCAATAATACTTAACTCGACCCGGGAATCGAACCTCGGCCAACGAGGCAGTCACTAGAAACTACTATAGATCAATTCAACAAACTCCTTGACATTTGACATAACTGTAGCGAATTAACTTAAGCCGACGCGACATATAGTTGACATCACAAGGGAATATCGTCAACCTTGTTGAATAATATAAAAGTTCCTACAATGCATGTGAAACATACGTGGTTCCAGCATTTAACCTTGATAATGAACCAAGTTTATCGATTTTATAATGAGCGTTTGATTTATGCATATCGTTTTTACTTAACATATCGATATAAGCCTTGTATATAGAGGTTAGTTTTTATTGGTTGTCTAAAGCGGGTTGATTCTTAAGAGGTATTTTCATTTGATAGAAAACCGTGGATATGTGTGTTAGAGCGAAACCATATCTAGGCAAATGTACTTTAGGGCGCACTCCGGTTAAGCAGAGTGATGATATTCATATAGTGCTTGGCAGTGTTTGGATGCGAAGGGCTGAAGATTGAACTGAGCGTGGTATTGATGAAAGTATATATCTTTAATATCATAAATTCAGTAGTGAACCTGGTTAATGATGACGATTTTACGAGTAGATTACATAAAACCTTTTTATGCTATTAAAACGAGAAAACACCCTTATAATACGTGAATATTCTTCCATTTATAGGAAATTGTATTTTCTTATAAAATCTTCTACTGTTCTATCGTTATATCCTCTTACAAGAAAAAACTGCGAGAATAGTTTAATTAAATTATAAAAAAATATAGGTCTAACCACAAAACGTAAAATAACACAATAAAACTTATTTGCTGATAGGACCAATCAATAGGGAATACATGGCAACGTGCCAGTTGACGTCATTATTATGGCAAACGAGACAACCGCGGACTATGCGGAAATTTTCTACAAAATGCAGAGATTACATGCAATTTTGGTTCTTGTTCTCCATCTTTTTAAGGTCGAAATCATAATTATAATGATTTTTACCACCTTGGGTGAGATGAGAGGGAGTATCAGACTCCTTCCTGATTATAAACCACCTCGTTCTTACTACTGCTTCGAGCCAGAGCCGCGGATACCAACGGCTTCGTTTCAGTGTGAGAAAAAGTAGGTACATAAATTAACTGAATATTACGAGTTCCTCACGTAAGTATACTGAGAAAAGTTCTACTAGTATAGAGTCGCAGAGGATCTACGTGATTAACTTGTCATTTTGTGTTAACTCAGTATGTCTCACGATAGTTATTATAAGAACAAAGTAGATACATATTGTAACCCAGTACTCTATGTCCCAGAACTTTATAATTAGTACTATTATTAAAAAATATATCAAATCCAAAATAGTATTTTGCCCAACACGGGTACTGGACGCGAGATCTCTAGCGCGGTAGTTGTAACAAAGGCAGGCTTTTTTAAGGGGGGAAAATCATCGAATGACTGCTCCCGCCTGGATGAGGCGGGAGGGAGTGTCAGTCTCTTACTGACCAAAAACCACCCCGTTCCTTCTCCTGCACGTCGAGCCGGAGCGCCGGTTACCCGTTAGGTTCTCCGCGACAACAAAGGCAGGCTAGGTATATAATAATGTTCACAAAAATTATTTTACACATCTAACTATTAGTTAAATAATGAAAACCTTTTCCTTTGTAATACAATACGTGACCTTGAAAACTGAGGCGAACACAAACTAATCAAAATGTAAGATTCTTTTACGACTGAAGACTTTATGAAAAAAACTGAAAGCTTATCATTTCAGTGACGAAGTGTAATTGAAATTATGTGTCTCTTTGATGTTAATTTGTAACCGACTTCAAAAAAATGAGGTTCTCTTTTTGACCTGTAAGTATATATTTATGTATGTATGTATGTTTGTGCGCAATTATCTCGCGAATATGGCAATAGGCTCACCCCCTAATACATGGGAATCATAACATAAATAGTGAAAAGTGGGTGTCACTTCTGTGTGCACCTCTGCCTACCCCTTCGGGAATAAATGTGATGTTATGTATGTTATCTTGCGATTGGCTGAACCGATTTAGATGCGGTTTTTAGAAAAGTGTTTGTTAGGAGAATTCAAACTACCTGTTTTTTGACGTATGTTATAAAAAATATTCAGTCATCAATTAAAGATAATTTTGTAGCTAGTATAACTTCATACAATATTATTTATATGTACTAGTAGGAAAAGTGTAGAATTAATGCAGACATATTTTACTCAAAGTAATTAGAAAGATCACTAAACCTAGTGTTGAAACATATTAAATATTCAAATAATAATTTACATTAGATAATTTGAATAATATCGCCTGATGTGGTTGATTTTTGTGGTTGTAGCGTTCACTGGATTCTTATAACCACAATTTATAAATTCTAAACTGTTGCTTCAAATATGACTTGACTTCTATTGACTGTAGCACTTCATTGCGGATACTAATAATATTCCATCACGCAATATTCATGAACGTATTTTTTCAATAACCGGGTATCATGGAAAACACGTCTTAAAAATACTGTAGTTTGGTACACAAAGAATTTAATTAGATATAAAAATTAACTAAAAATGTCGACACAAAAAATATTCTTCTTATTACGTATCTACAAAAAGTGACAACACGTGAAAGAAAAATATCAAACAAAAAAAAATATAAAACGACTCGAAAAACAATTTCCCATTCACAAACATCCGAACAGCCGGGTTCAAAAAAAACAAGCAAAAAGGAACTTTATACTATTAAAAAAACAACTGAATATTGTACTTACATGATCTTCCCTTAACACACAGAGTAATTGAACGGAATCAATTAATATACAGGATGGTTCTATTTTCAAAGTGGACTGGCTTCACGCGAGCTCGGTAGCGGTGTTGGCGCAAAGTGTGACTGGAGTCGGCCGCAGTAACATCGCGCACAAAATAGCTTCGGGCGAGCTTTTTGGCAAAATATACCAAAGTTTTTCTTTTCAGTTATTGACGTTGTTTATCTTTAAAAGTTCACGTTGAACGAGTCAAATTCTGGGTAAAAGTTTTGTGCGTATTTTGTAATAAATTGGGGTGTGAGGTATTTCTGTTATTGGGAGTAAACTTTATCTCGATTTTATAAAGAATTTTATTTAGTTTCTATGTATAAACTAGTTTACAAATGTACCTAACATAATTGTACAAGTTTTCGTATGAGGTAAATTAAAAATTTCAAAATACATCATTATTAATGTTATTTTTGACTTAGTTTTATGAGAAGAATTAAAAGTAACTAGGTAATACATTTTGTACATTTTATTTCTCGACATATTAAAATATTACAATTCAACTAAAACTAATCACATAAAAACAAGATCATTAAAAAAAAATTAATTTCAACAAAAGCTACCGTGCCCAACGACTTTTCTCACCACCAGTACTTGTGAGCTTTCCGCCACGCATGCGCGGCACTGCGTGTGTGCACCCATCGATTTCCCCTACTTGTGGGGTAGGTCTGGGGTTCGCTGCACGTGTCGCATTCAGCACCACCTTATCAATGGACATACTATAGTACTTATAGATATAGTTTCTGAACATTAATGAGAGCACCATTGAAGCTTTGTGTGAATGCAGCTTTACTTAATGTTCAGCTATCTGGTGGCATAACATGGGAATTTTATCTAAATATTTTATAAAGGTTTAATTATGTTTCCTTTGGGAATAGTAAAGGAGTACCTATTGTCGAAAAGTTTTTTTTTAAATAAGTCATCATACTTACGTATTTCGGTCTTAATACATTTTGGTAATTATATAAGGCCAATGTTCTAAGAGGAACTGTCGAGGTCAAAACATCTCGGGTTCGATTTGTGGGTCGAGAAACGTATTTTTGAGCATTTCAGTTTTTGAAAATTCTCACTGCCTGCAATAACAAATTGTATTCAGTAGACTTGAATGCAGATTTGTAGTATTATTGGATGGGAGTTCAAATATTCATGTATACCTGAACAAAGTAATTAAACAGTAGGAGGACAGTATAAATTACTTATAGTCTTGAACGCTAAATCAAAGTTATGTCGGTATATTATGGTATTAGGTACTACAATTTGCTGAGAACCGCGTCGTTGATTTCAGGCTTCATTTTCCGCCTTCGTGACTACGAATTGATTAAAATTTACAGAATAGAACAAAAAAGACTAGAGTCTCACAATCAATTTGCAAATGAAAATAGTAATAGGTAATTTTAACAAATAATTTATTTAAACTAAATGAAAAAGTGTCTCTAACTAGCTTAGTTGCAGATTTTAGTTTGATTTTATGAAAATTCCCTAATAATTGAAGCTTTATCTTATATAAACTTCTATTAGTTAATATTTTGAAGAACATAAAGGACAGATTTTTTTTTTATGTAAAAACTGCACAGTGCAAAAAAGTGCAGTGTGGCACTACGCGCTATTAATAAAAACTACCACCTACCTACACCGAATGCGAATGCTTTCGTACTTAGTTTCTCTCTCCGGTCGTTCCCTCATAACTGAGGATTGTGATCATTCTGTCATCAATCGGGATCGGATGAACTGTCTCCATCGGCTCCTGTCTATGGTCATTTGTTTTGTGGTGTAGAACCTCATTGCTGGGATGTCTTTGAGCTGGTCTGACCATTTGGTTAGAAATCGTCCTCTTGCGGTTCTCCCCTTAAGATTTGACGACAACGAGGTTCTCCAAGCTATTCCCCCTGTGTCTCGCTATATGTCTAAAATAGCTCATGATCCAAAAGCCTTTGTACAGTGGAAAGGCTGTCTGTGACTTTAATTTGCGATAATATTGAGGCATTGACACTCAGTACCTTGTGAACATAAAATTGTGTAAAAGGTGAACATCAAACGTTGAGTTAATAATAACGAGATGTTTTGATTTCACTCAAACCACAATAAGAAAAGTTTCAGCGAAATATTTAGAAATATTTAGACTGCCTCGTTAGCCGAGTGGTCGCAAGTGCGACTGCCGAGCATGGGGTCTCGGGTTCGATTCCCGGGTCGGGCAAAGTATTAGGTACTGGGTTTTTAAAAAAATCTCAGTACTAGCACGGAGTCTGGAATTGTGCCCGGTATATGGCAATAGGCTCACCCCCTATTACATGGGACTCATAACATAAATAGTGAAAAGTGGGTGTGACTTCTGTGTGTACTTCTGCCTACCCTTTTAGGGATGTTATGTTCAGCGAAATATCAGCCAATAATATTTACAATGCTTTACTTTTACCCACATTAAGTCAGTTTGCTAAGTACTTGGAAACATCCATAGCAGGTTGTGTGCCACCTAGACGCCGCACCGCGGACGTAAGTACGCGTTCAATGCACACCGCACGTACTACACAATAAAACAATACCACGAGTATACTTAGTCATATTAAGAAAGAAACAAGTGGACTGAACTGCAATGACGTAACAGTTCATGTTACTTCGCTCCTTGGTTTCTTCTTCGAATTGGTTTTTGAAATGGTTATTGTATTTACTGGCAGACCTAAAGAAAAATGTGAAGCGGGGGGTATTTTTAGTATGTTTAGTTAAGATGATTTTTTCGAATGTACACAAAGCACCGCTAATTAGTTAGCGGCGCTACACATCGACACAACTATCATTTACACAATATACATGTGTGGGTAATTTCATATCAATAGATATGTATAGAAACATTCGTCTATCACACACATCTTGGTATTTAAAAATCATTTTTGTGTCGGTATACGCAATAATTTAGTAAATAAGTTTAAATAAAAACGAGGGTAAAGATAAAATTACTCATAACAAACTTTGAATAAATCGAAATCAAAAATAATGAACGATCGAGCTATACAATACCCATATAAATATAGTGCTTTCTCATTGTAATTTTATGTTACTGAATGATATAAAATATTTCGATGATCTCATCTACAGCGCGCTTGGCGCAATGGTTATCGCCTCCAATTGTCAAGTAAAGTGCCGCCGGATCGATTCCAACATTCACATGTTGTTTTAGAATTAATTTATCAAATATTTGAAATTTGAAATTAGAAACAATTAAATCTTTTCTTTTTTTTCCTTTCCTATTGTTCTAAATCTTATGTTAATTTTAATAGTAAATACTTTAGATTTATTTATACCTATAATATCTTTTATTTATATTTTAGTTCTAGTTATTTATTATTTAGAATAATCTCATTTGCTTCATGCATTTCAACCAACTTAAATAAGATAAAAACAGTAAAAAAGTAATTAACTGTGATTTCTTAATGGTTCGATACCTGAGTATATTTGCAATGTTTGTGGCGACCATAGAAATCTCGAGTCATTTTATTTTACACGCTTATGAAGTAACTACCGACTATTTAAAACATGTTTTTCAAATCACCCGACTTACAAAATAATTGCGTTCTTAGTTGTCAATTTATGAGGATTTCATAGTTTATTGCTACACTACTTATATTCGTGTGCAAAGTTATTTTTATTTTTACAAGATGTTCCAACACCTATCAACATTTAAAAAGGCTGAAACCATTGTTTTGCATGAGCAAAACATAACTAACAATAACTGAAATAGCAAGGCGTTTAATGATATCGGTGAGTAAATAAGATACTACGTTGATATTCTAAATAATATTTATTTCATTTTGTAACTCGACACACCTATCAATTTTTGCACTAGAATAAAAAATTATTGCAACTTATTATGAAGTTCAATATTATAAAGATATATTAATAATTTATTATTAATTGTATTGTAACTTGACTTGTTTTTGTTAGGAGTGTTTCTTTAAAACATATCTGGTTAGGGATTTTTATTCCTTACGCCACTACTTAATTATAAATTATTATTCTAACATTGTGTTTACTTATATTTATTATTATTTTTAAGTAACTTTAATTCCTGTAAAGTATTTCCTGGTATTTTAAATACTTATTTGTTTGGTATCAACAGAGGAGATCCATGCAGTTATGGGTGCACAGATATGCGGAGACCGGTGACGTTAAACATCGTCGACGTGGGCCTAAACCAAAGGCAAATTCATCGGCTCGGCACTACGACATCGTAGCCAGGCACATGGCTGATCCGTTCCTGCCAACCCGCACTACAGCGACAGCACTGAATGTTTTAATACAAACTGTACGGAGACACCTGCATTCTGGTTTAAGGTGCAGGAAGCCAGAGAAGAAAATATTGTTATCTGTGGTTCACCAGCAAAAGCGCTAAGAATTTGCTAAGGACTTTATTAATTTTGATTGGGCGAACAGTGTAATCATATTGAGCGACGAAAAGACTTTCAAGTCGGATAAGGATGGGCGTAAAATATTGTGAAGAAAAGATGGAGAAAGGTATACGAATTGCAACCTTCTGCCTTGTAGGATCAGTGATTGTATTGATTTCGGAATCAATTATTGAGCCTGTCAAACTCTGCCTTTATTAAAATTAACATAAAATAATGTTTAATTTTTTTAAGAATATTAAAATGCTGTCTAGAACATACGGTGAAGTGATGTTATTGTTTTGTGGTTAGAAATTGTCATAATTTCTTTCTATTCAACATGTTTATTCACTTCACTTTAATTTTTCATTAACAAATTTATTTAACTGCTTTCGAACTTGATTGACATATTATATTTACGCCCATCTTCAATTAATTTAAAGTTTCCCTGATTCTAAAGGTCATGAAAGTTAAAATCGTTCCATAGCATTCGTCACATTCTTTTTACTATCATACAGCCCACTGAATATTGAACCTTATAACAACCGTCGTAAAATAGATAATTAATGGAAGTTCAAACGACAAAAAGTCGCCCATTTCAAGAAATATTATGTTGACAGTGTAATTTTTTACATGTTTTACTTGTTTATTACTGTATTATTATTAAATTACAAAACAAGAATGTTGTATATTTGTTTATTACTTAATAAAAAATGTTGCTGCCATCGTATTACCGCTGTACCGC